AAGCCGTTTAGGGACTGAGGACACCAAGTGAGTCAGTGTGTCAGGTGTCATTTTGGCCCATTCTTTCTGCAAACAAGTCTTAAGGTCCACAACAGTTCTGGGTCTTCGTTGATGCAATTTGTGTTTCAACATGTGCCACACATTCTCTATTGGGGACAGGTGGGGACTGCAGACAGACCAGTCCAGCACTCACAGCCTTTTCCTCCACAGCCAGGCCTTGGTAATGTGGCAGGATGGCTGTGGCTCAGGTGTGTGGTGATGAGGAGACAGGATGCCGAGTCTGGGCCTACGGGTGACGGGACCTTTGTCGAGGTGGTGGTGAGCAGAGATGAGTGGCAGAGAAATCTCCACGTAGAGTGTATACATGGGAGTAGACTTGGAGAACATGAAGGAAGCAGGGTTGGCCATGAGCACTGGGAGCCTGGGTGTAAGGATGCCTGACCAAACAGGCAGGGACTTGGGAGTGACGAAGTGACACACCAGTGAATTGAGGATATGTCAGCTGGCGTAGACACAGGCAGGAAGCTAAGGAGACACTGGCCTGAGGCTGGCTCATCCAGCGACAAGGAAATGAATGGTGAGTAGACGCTGGACAAGAGGCCACACAGGCTGCAATGAGGTACCAACAGGTGAGTCAAGTTGACCCTGGACTGGAGCCACACTGACTGTGGTGAAAGGCCAACAGGTGAGTCAAGCTGATGCTGGATGAAAGACGCTCATGCAGGAACAAACTGGTGTGAGGTATGTAGGAATGTAGAGCAGAGACTACCCACACAGAGCGGAGTGAAGCCTATGGCCAAAGTAGAGACATCAAATGCAAACAGGAGGTGGTAAAGTCTGTCAGGTAGGAGAAGAGCTGGACCAGCCGCTAGCAGTTCCCAGAGTCACAGGAGAGACTGCAAGGTTTACTTGGTGGGTTGAGTGGCAGGTCCGGCATATAAACAGTGCTGGGTACAGGTAGTCACAGGGACCAGGAAATCAGCCGGACAAGACACCGAACAGGTCAGGCAGCAAAGGTCAAAGACGCAGTTTCTCAAGAGGTAAGTTCACTGAAAAAAAGGAATTTCAAGAAAGTAAAAAGCCTTGTATCAAGGAAATAAGTCTTATTTTAAGTCCAGAAAAATTTTTTATCTGGTCAAGCATGGTTTGCATTTGAAAAATAATCTCATTTTAAGAAAGTATGGCTAACTTTTAAGAATTCTTGTCAAGCAAAAAAATCTGCCAATGGGGTAAGATTTTATTTGCTTGATACAAGATTATTTGTTTTAATTTAAGAATATTTTGCTTCTTTCTAGTAGGTCTGCTTTTGCAGTGTTGGCCGGTAAGAAGTTGCGCAAACAGCAACTGACTGGCGAGGAAGACACAGCCGAGCTCAGGCTATAAACTAGCCAGCCAGATAGAATGATTGGCTTGACTGTGCCACTCCCTGCCAGCAATGCCCAGTAGCTCAACCAGGACTCCCAGGAGTAAAACAGGCATGTGACCTCGCATGAAGTGAGTGCTTATTTTGTTGTATTGTTTTCAGTGAGATACAAGACACAGATGATTTACAAAGCACCACTTTCAGTTTTAATTTAGATTTTACCTACTGATGCAACTTCTTTTGATTTGGCGTTGTACATCTTAGCTTTCCCATAGTAAGTGAGGCCTCTGGTCTGTTTGTACAGAAGTACAGGATCTTTAGATTTGCTGTTAGTGCTAAAGAACTACTAATACAATTCTGACTGACATTTTAAAGGTTGTAAGAAACAAAAGATCAGAAGACTACAACCTAATGCTAGACTAAACTGAGAACCTGCCAGAATGAATGAGTAAACGACAACCATCTGTCACCAGAAAGACCCGTGAGATGCATTACAGCCTGCAAAAAGTTTAAAGTGAAGACGATGAAACTCACTGGCACTGGGCTGGGACTCCACTGCATTCCGTCGTCTCAGCAGGATCCTCTGGAGCTCCTCGTCATGCTTTGTTGATGACAACCTTGCCTTTGGTTGGAGGGAAGTTCTAGTGAAATTCTGCTGGACAGTTTCAGAAACAAGCAGCATGGTCAGCGAAAGCAGCACTGCACAGGAACCATTACATCTAGAGGAAACTTCAGTAGGTTTACTGTTGTGTTGTCACTGTTTGACTCAACAACACAACAGTGTGAGAATGTGTGCTAATCTTCATCCTGTATGTCTAGTGTGCTGCAGCACTACTAAAATATTTTTCTACTGCTACTTCGAGTTTTATTGTGTTATATGCACACTGTCAAAAATTAATTCTCTGCTCCTGTGTACACACAGTGAACTAGCACAATAGTAAGAGGTTTGTGAGGACATTTGATTGTTTTAAAGTCCCATTACCATGATTCCTTTAAGTTCCTGAATGGCAGAATTAGAGGGCAGCCTCTCCATCTGATAAAAGGAAAATAGGAGGAAAAGATGGGCTTAGTAAATAAACAGCAGTCTGACACATTATACTTATTTTTCCTCATTCTGCACTTAGAGGCTAAACTACCCCTCTTACCACAGAGACGAGACACTGCAGGTAAGCACGAGGACGTATGCTTTCTACAAGAAGCAAATGTGTCAGCACACAGCCATTTTGAGACACGTTGATTTTCTCATCCTCATTATTTATAATTGCCTTGCAGAGCAGGTCCTAATGCTCTCCAATTTGCCAAAGTTGTTGTGTTGGAGGAACACGCAGACCTAAAGATGTCTTGGCCATATGTCATGTTTTATCAAAACAAGCAGCTCTTAGATAATCCCACACACTGATGGCTTTAAGAGCACTGAACAATATTTGCTCAACAATGCATAAAACCTCGCTCAGGCTCCAAACGCTGGGTGTCTGCAGCCGGTGGTAGTTTGGTAATTTCAGCCAAGATGAAAACACAGTCACACACATGCTCTGTCTTTAATGACTCCCAGGTGTCATGTTTAAATGTCTTCATTGTGTAGTATTCGCTGTGGGAAGTGTCCACAGTCTGTTTTATACCTAGTAATGCTGCTGTTTTCTTTGCCTGACTAACCAAATTTTCTTCTGTGTAGTAAACAAAGAATGAATGTAAAGCGCATCACTTCCTGTGCAGCAGACTTTTCCCACAAAGCGTTTATAAGTGCCAACACAAAGACCTGTAGTATCACAGTGGTGTTACCTGCTGGAGAGACCAGTGGCAGTACGTGCAGTGTGAAATGTCCCTTTGCCAATCATCTTTCAGTTGCTGTACTGATATCATGAAGCTCATTACACTTTCTTTGTCTTCGTAGCTCAGTTCACTAAGTGGCTATTTCAATTAATTTCAACTCTGAGCATAAAATAACACACTGAGCTGTGAAATCTGTTACTGATTATGTGAAATATGCCATCAAGGTAGCAGGAGATATGCTATATCATTTAACAGGACGACATGAAAAACAAAAGGACTTTTTGCTGTTTTAAAGGACAAGGCCGGCCGTTTTATATAGTACTAGTATTTTCAACAAACCTACTGTGAATTGGCTCTATACACAGTTAACGTCTGTCAGTGTTCAACCTAAATGATCTTATTTGTCTGTGCCATAGCCCTCTGTTGTTGTTCAAAAATGATTAAAAGCACAGCAGTGAAACACAACGCTGCACTGGGTGACATGTTTCTTCATTATGAAACACAAGACCTGCAGATTTGTTCATATGTTGCACATGCACAATTATATTTCTGTGATCTACCTCTTGATTTTCTCATATTAGCAGGAATACTCTTGGGGCTGTGTACATCTTAACCAGAGGCTGTCCAGAGGAAACCTTTTATTAGAAATTCAAGTTATTATTCAAACATGGTAAAAAAAAATAAAAAAATATTCTATTAGATGTTTAAATTCTGAATTCACACTAAGCCCAACAGGCTGTGCCTTGAACCCCAGCACCGTCACTGTGGCCTATTGCATGTTGTGTTGGCCTAAACCGACTAGGCTACTGCGTTACGTCCGTGACTCAGGCCATTCCCAGCACCTCGTCAGCAGGCATGGGGACTTTCAGAAACTCTGCCCCCGCACATGTGGGAGCGCATTCTCGGCGGTGAGGCATACCTGCTCTTAATCATTAGGGCAGTACTTAAGGAGTACTGGTGTGTCCTTGTTGCCAGATGATCTCTTGTCATCCTGCTGGTAACTTTGTATGTTGGCATTGTTATTATTATTTACTTTTCCAAGTCTAAGTATGAGTCCTGCATTTCTCTGAGTCCTTACTGAACAGATGGTGTTGAGATCAGGGGCTGAATGATGTTACCTGCTTTCTGGTCCTGTCGGGTGACTGGCTGACTGGTCGAAGCTGAACGCCTTTCTTGATCCTTTGCATCATTTCCTCCACTGCCTGCTGTCTGATGTCCACCTGTGGGACTGACGGACAACACACAACAACCGAAACAAAGATTTCCTCACTAAGCTTAAAGCCTCAGTGGTCTGTGTTTAGTGGCTTCAATAACACTTATGGGAGTCTGCCTCAGTGTGAAACTGCCAAGAACCAAAGTGAGTTTAAATGATTTGGAGGGGTATGAGGCACTGTGCAATCCACAAGCATCATTAGTACTCCAAGTGAAATAAATCTCATTTTGGTGTAAAAGCTTAAAAATGACACATGCTCTCAGGAACAATCGAAGTTTTTGCTTCAGAAGCTCAAGGGCTTTCTTCTTAATTATGCCATAAACACTGACTGAACTGTAGTATTGTGGATTCTGTTGTAGCATGGATTTAATTGTAGTCATGAAACAATTCAGAATTATTGGCAGTCTGCAAATTTTGTAGCATTCAAAGTACAGCTGTATATTTCAGAGCCTTTGTTCTGTGTGAGGTTACTAAACTTCATCTGGAACAAATTTCAGCTCTGTGTAAAAACACAAACACTCTTTAGCGATTTTTCATCCAGAAGTTCTCAGAGTTTCTCGAGTTCTCAAAAGGTGACAACAACAATCTAATTCTGTAATAGCACAACGTATTGAGAAAGAAATGTGAATATTTAATTTTCTAACATAGAACATTCAATGGAACACACAATGGAACCATTGTCAGCAAGATGTCTTTAAAATGTCACACGAAAACTATTTCCTGTCAAAGTAATAGCCAAATATTTTTCTTCAAAGTGCTCAGAAACAGACTATTATATTCCAGTGTCAGAGTGGAAGATCCTTGGGTGGCACCTATTCAGCCCTGTATATAATTCCAACAAATACCCTGTGCCCAGGGCCCAGTTCACTCACAGTATTCAAAACCCATTGAACAAAATGAGGACATGTATAGCTTGTTCAGTCAACAGAGATGCTCCACCTGCTCCGACAAGTCAAGGCTCCCCTTTTGTTTGCACAAATTGAAGAATTTAATATGTTGACCTAATAGGCCAACGATGGAGATTTGAGTTTAAATTTGCACCACTTGCTACAGCATTTGGCCTTCTACACATAAGTGACAAAGGCACAAAGGGTAAAATCTAAAAGAAAAAACAACAGGATTTAAGACCGGTTCTCCTACACCGATGTGCATGAGACGTACTGCAGCCCTGCACCGCCATCACATGCTACACAAAAGTAGATATTAAAACCTCACAGGTTTTCATACTGTTTTAATTTATCATTTTTGGTGTCTGGATCATTTGACACTGTGACCTCAACGCCAACTCTGTGGGCCAATCACAGCAGGGGATCAAACCACACTTTTCTGGAAAAATCCTTCAGTCAAACAGGTGGGTAGGAGAATGACTTAAGAATAATAATAACCTTTATTGGCCAAGTATGTTACACACAAGGAATTTGTTTCCAGTACAGAACCAATGGCAGCCATCTGCGGCACCAACTCAACTGATAGCTCTAACCATCAGGGGTCAACGGGGGGGTTCAGTGTCTTGCTCAAGGACACTTTGACATGTGGACTGGAGGCACTGAGATTCGAACCTTCAACTTTCCGTCTCCGGTTGGGAGACGACTGCTCTACCCACCGCACCACTGTGGCCAGATTTCTCTCGAGTTTACTGCTCTTTTGTGCTAAATATTTTGTTACTTCTTTCTCCTTAGACTTCATGTTTTGTCCATATCTTGCTCAATATCACTATCATGGTCAAATGTTGTGAAAGACACGAGATTCTGTATCTTTGGTGTTTCAGCTGCTGTTCTGCAGAAACACCTACCGATAATCAAAGTCCTAAAATGCTGGTGTTGAAGCCTCAAACTGTGCTGCATTATGCTCCAGCAACAGATTACACTGTATGATGCAAACACATAACAGATGCCTGCCTGCTGATCCAAATGAAAAGCTCTCCTTTATTACAGTTTAAACAAATGTAAACAAACTCCAGTTTGGTTGGTGCACCAGTATTTGTCATTCATATGTTGTGGCTTTTACATGTATACCTGGTGTCTTGACAGAGTCCTGGACCACCATTGGGATATCGGTACCGATGTCTCTCCTCTTTCGGATCATTGACAACAACGAGCTACAAGGGAAGGCACAAATGAAGATTAGCTGGTTGTTACTGAGGCTGCTACTCTCACAAGATCCTAATTAAACTGATCACCTTAATCAGCTGATTTAAAGGTTTTAAACATACATTTGAGTTTTTGGTGTGTATGCACCTTTGTGAATGTTTTTAAAAAATAATATCAATAATTATAGCCAACAACAAAGAGGCCAACAGAGTCAGAAGGGACATCAGTGTCCAGTGGTGTTAGATGGCCATTTTTGTTAAAAGGAGATCAATTCTAGAAATTTTCATCTAGGCTTTATGATGTACTTTAAAACACCCCCCTTTACCATCAGTAGCCCCTTTTACACTGCTCATTCAATGCAGGAGATTTCTGTACAGTACCGGCCCCACCCCCACCTCTTGTATAAACAAGGCGGAATGGGGGATTCTAGGGCTGTGAGAGAGAGAGAGAGAGAGAGCTAGAGGGTGAATAAGGGGAGTGAGCAGCATCAGGTAGAACAAAGTGGATCCCAGAATTAAAAGGTTATTTTGTGATTGTTTCACGGTGGTTACGCTCTAAAGCACAAATAAACACCTCTGCACAACCCAAAGGATTTTGTGCTATAATGCAGCCAGAACGCAGCTTCTGTCTGTTCTGAGGTGAGGTACGCTTTCCGTGTGTGTAGCCCTGCCCTCAGACAGACCTGAAACGAGTCCTGCATTTCTCTGAGTCCTTACTGAACAGATGGTGTTGAGATCAGGGGCTGAATGATGTTACCTGCTTTCTGGTCCTGTCGGGTGACTGGCTGACTGGTCGAAGCTGAACGCCTTTCTTGATCCTTTGCATCATTTCCTCCACTGCCTGCTGTCTGATGTCCACCTGTGGGACTGACGGACAACACACAACAACCGAAACAAAGATTTCCTCACTAAGCTTAAAGCCTCAGTGGTCTGTGTTTAGTGGCTTCAATAACACTTATGGGAGTCTGCCTCAGTGTGAAACTGCCAAGAACCAAAGTGAGTTTAAATGATTTGGAGGGGTATGAGGCACTGTGCAATCCACAAGCATCATTAGTACTCCAAGTGAAATAAATCTCATTTTGGTGTAAAAGCTTAAAAATGACACATGCTCTCAGGAACAATCGAAGTTTTTGCTTCAGAAGCTCAAGGGCTTTCTTCTTAATTATGCCATAAACACTGACTGAACTGTAGTATTGTGGATTCTGTTGTAGCATGGATTTAATTGTAGTCATGAAACAATTCAGAATTATTGGCAGTCTGCAAATTTTGTAGCATTCAAAGTACAGCTGTATATTTCAGAGCCTTTGTTCTGTGTGAGGTTACTAAACTTCATCTGGAACAAATTTCAGCTCTGTGTAAAAACACAAACACTCTTTAGCGATTTTTCATCCAGAAGTTCTCAGAGTTTCTCGAGTTCTCAAAAGGTGACAACAACAATCTAATTCTGTAATAGCACAACGTATTGAGAAAGAAATGTGAATATTTAATTTTCTAACATAGAACATTCAATGGAACACACAATGGAACCATTGTCAGCAAGATGTCTTTAAAATGTCACACGAAAACTATTTCCTGTCAAAGTAATAGCCAAATATTTTTCTTCAAAGTGCTCAGAAACAGACTATTATATTCCAGTGTCAGAGTGGAAGATCCTTGGGTGGCACCTATTCAGCCCTGTATATAATTCCAACAAATACCCTGTGCCCAGGGCCCAGTTCACTCACAGTATTCAAAACCCATTGAACAAAATGAGGACATGTATAGCTTGTTCAGTCAACAGAGATGCTCCACCTGCTCCGACAAGTCAAGGCTCCCCTTTTGTTTGCACAAATTGAAGAATTTAATATGTTGACCTAATAGGCCAACGATGGAGATTTGAGTTTAAATTTGCACCACTTGCTACAGCATTTGGCCTTCTACACATAAGTGACAAAGGCACAAAGGGTAAAATCTAAAAGAAAAAACAACAGGATTTAAGACCGGTTCTCCTACACCGATGTGCATGAGACGTACTGCAGCCCTGCACCGCCATCACATGCTACACAAAAGTAGATATTAAAACCTCACAGGTTTTCATACTGTTTTAATTTATCATTTTTGGTGTCTGGATCATTTGACACTGTGACCTCAACGCCAACTCTGTGGGCCAATCACAGCAGGGGATCAAACCACACTTTTCTGGAAAAATCCTTCAGTCAAACAGGTGGGTAGGAGAATGACTTAAGAATAATAATAACCTTTATTGGCCAAGTATGTTACACACAAGGAATTTGTTTCCAGTACAGAACCAATGGCAGCCATCTGCGGCACCAACTCAACTGATAGCTCTAACCATCAGGGGTCAACGGGGGGGTTCAGTGTCTTGCTCAAGGACACTTTGACATGTGGACTGGAGGCACTGAGATTCGAACCTTCAACTTTCCGTCTCCGGTTGGGAGACGACTGCTCTACCCACCGCACCACTGTGGCCAGATTTCTCTCGAGTTTACTGCTCTTTTGTGCTAAATATTTTGTTACTTCTTTCTCCTTAGACTTCATGTTTTGTCCATATCTTGCTCAATATCACTATCATGGTCAAATGTTGTGAAAGACACGAGATTCTGTATCTTTGGTGTTTCAGCTGCTGTTCTGCAGAAACACCTACCGATAATCAAAGTCCTAAAATGCTGGTGTTGAAGCCTCAAACTGTGCTGCATTATGCTCCAGCAACAGATTACACTGTATGATGCAAACACATAACAGATGCCTGCCTGCTGATCCAAATGAAAAGCTCTCCTTTATTACAGTTTAAACAAATGTAAACAAACTCCAGTTTGGTTGGTGCACCAGTATTTGTCATTCATATGTTGTGGCTTTTACATGTATACCTGGTGTCTTGACAGAGTCCTGGACCACCATTGGGATATCGGTACCGATGTCTCTCCTCTTTCGGATCATTGACAACAACGAGCTACAAGGGAAGGCACAAATGAAGATTAGCTGGTTGTTACTGAGGCTGCTACTCTCACAAGATCCTAATTAAACTGATCACCTTAATCAGCTGATTTAAAGGTTTTAAACATACATTTGAGTTTTTGGTGTGTATGCACCTTTGTGAATGTTTTTAAAAAATAATATCAATAATTATAGCCAACAACAAAGAGGCCAACAGAGTCAGAAGGGACATCAGTGTCCAGTGGTGTTAGATGGCCATTTTTGTTAAAAGGAGATCAATTCTAGAAATTTTCATCTAGGCTTTATGATGTACTTTAAAACACCCCCCTTTACCATCAGTAGCCCCTTTTACACTGCTCATTCAATGCAGGAGATTTCTGTACAGTACCGGCCCCACCCCCACCTCTTGTATAAACAAGGCGGAATGGGGGATTGGAGGGCTGTGAGAGAGAGAGAGAGAGAGCTAGAGGGTGAATAAGGGGAGTGAGCAGCATCAGGTAGAACAAAGTGGATCCCAGAATTAAAAGGTTATTTTGTGATTGTTTCACGGTGGTTACGCTCTAAAGCACAAATAAACACCTCTGCACAACCCAAAGGATTTTGTGCTATAATGCAGCCAGAACGCAGCTTCTGTCTGTTCTGAGGTGAGGTACGCTTTCCGTGTGTGTAGCCCTGCCCTCAGACAGACCTGAAACTGGATGCACGTATAGTAGGCTACTGTAATTCCTGGTTTCCATTTACAGCCTAAATATATCAAACAAAATCAGATAAGAGAAGCCCATTTGTTTCCTTTTAAAATTGGCTGCAAAGTGCACGCACTGCAGGAGGTCATGATCAGCATCGTGCCTCAGGTACTGGGATTCTGGCAGCTATGTAAAATGAACACAGGAGCGTCAGTTTCCAGGCTTTCTTATGTTCATTGTAAAAGGTTTTAAATTAAAAAGCCGCCTTGAAGGAGGGTCAGAACACCAGCAGTTTGCTGCATTCTCTGTGTTTGTCATTCTGTTGTATGGAAGATGCATCAGAATGCATCAAAGAAAAACTGACAGGAAACTGGTGATGTGAAGAGCACACTGTGTGTGATCAAACCTGAGCGGGTTGGAGGCCAGAGCTGGGGCTGGTGGGTTGGTAGCTGCCTGCAGCTTCTTCTGGAGCTCCTCAACTGGCCAGTTAAACACAGCCAGTTAGCAGAGTAATGCCCTGCAGTGTTTCCTGCCCTTGTACTGTAGTTCCAAATATAGCCTCACCTGTAAACCGCATATCCTTGACCTCCACTTCAGCCTTAGCGCATCTGTCAGTGTACTCCCTCTTCTCCTCCTCCACAAGCTCCAGCTTGCGCTGCAATGCTGTCAGCTCCCTCTGAGTCTCACAGCTACTGAGTTTGTCCTCCATCTGCTTTATCTGGGTATGAACACACCACAACACACACTCACCATTACACCATGCTGTAGGTGCCTGTTTTTGCTGCCTGTACAGCACATAAAAGGACATTCCCTTTTTTATTTATTCAAAAAACAACACTGTTCACATACAACAATAAACTGCAGTGAATGCTTCTCTTCTACCTTCCCACTGAGTAAAGAGCGGCTCTGCAGTATTCTACTGGCTGTGGTGGCTGCAGCTCCTGCAGTGATGATTTCTGATAAATAGCACTGGGTAGATGCCAGCTGACAGTCATCCACTCCCCAACCCCAGTTCCTTAACCAGTATTTTAATTGTTCCTTAAATGAAGGGTATGGCTCATCTCCACCCTGGCTACAGAAGAGACGGGTGATCCCACTCAGCTCTAACCGTTTTCCATTAATGCCATAGGAGGTGGGAGGGAGCTGGAGGCTGTGCAGCTCCTTTTAATTATTCATCTGGCAGGTCATGGCCCAGGATAATTCACTAGCAATCCCTTGATGTAATTAACCAGCTAAATAATTCTTGCTTTGATGCATACGAATGAAAGGCATTACAGGTGCGAAGCCCAGGGGATGGGTTACATATGTAATATTTTTCTTCTGTTTTAACTAGTTTGTGTTTCTGATACATAAAGCATGGATGAATAACTACAAATAGTTTTGGTTGATTCTGTGTTACAGTCACTCTTTAACCAAGACTCCTGCAGCATGAGTTTAAAAGTTTTCAAGCTTCCGGGTTTGCGTCAGCATTGTGCTGCCCACTGCCCATGGACAATGCTGTTTCCCCTGCTGCTCTGCTAGAATTTAATTTTGAGGCACAATATACAAGAGAAGTGAGTACACCCTTGTACATCCATCCAACCATCCATCCATTATCTACACCACTTATCCTAACAAGGGTCATGGGCGGGAGGGGGCTGGAGCCAATCCCAGCTGACACTGGGTGAGAGGCGGGGTCCACCCTGGACAGGTCGCCAGTCCATCACAGGACAACAAACAACCATACACACTCACACTCACTCCTACATCCAATTTAGAGTCACCAGTCAACCTAAGCTGCATGTCTCTGGACTGTGAGAGGAAGCCGGAGCACCCAGAGAGAACCCACGCAGACACAGGGAGAACATGCAGACTCCACACAGAAAGGCACCGGGTCGGCCGGGGCTCAAACCCAGAACCTTCTTGTTGTGAGGTGGCAGTGCTAAGCACTGTTCCCACCCCTGTGCAATTTTATTTAAATGTGAAATTATTCAAAACTTTATCACCTTACAGTAATTGCATTACTTCTAAAATGAGTAGGGCAATTAATCTAATAAAAAATTACAAACTAACATTTTAAATTTATTATATTAAAAATAAAGCCCCCAAAAATCAGTACACCTTTCGTTACTGAGATTTAGAACTGGTATGTTTTCAGAGCTTCATGTTTCCACTTTTCTTTTCAAACCTACCCAGTATGGAGGACACCGGTGTTACACAAGAAATGTTCTGTCATTCTTCAGAGGAAATATGTTTCAGCTGCTCTTTGCAGGAGAGGTTGTGTGTTGTGTCTTTAAAATACTCCAAATATATTCAGCTGGATTCAAGTCAGATGACAAATCAGATCTTAGTTTTCACTTTTTTTTACAATCCCAAATCATAAGTTGGGATAGTATGTAAAATCTTATTAAAACTGAAAGTAGGGATGTGTAAATCCTCTGTGTCCTGTATGACATTGAAAACACAGCAGCATATTATTTGATGTGAAACCATCAGTTTTATTCTTTGTTCAAAATAAACACTCACTTCAATCCTGATGCTGCAACACATTCCAATAAACGTTGGGACAGCAAAGCGTTTACCACAGTGTGATGCTGTTGTTCCTTTTCACAACATTTAAAAGCCGTTTAGGGACTGAGGACACCAAGTGATTCAGTGTGTCAGGTGTCATTTTGGCCCATTCTTCCTGTAAACAAGTCTTAAGGTCCACAACAGTCCTGGGTCTTCATTGACACGATCTACGTTTCAGCATGTACCAAACATTCTCTACTGGGGACAGGTGGGGACTGCAGACTGACCAGTGCAGCACTAACAGCCTTTTCCTCCACAGCCAGGCCTTGGTAATGTGTGTGAGGTTTTGTTAAAATATGCATGGGTGTCCCCGGAAATGAAGTTGTCTTGAAGGCAGCATATGTTGCTCCAACATCTCTCTGTATCGTTCATCATTAATGGAGCCATCACAGAAGTGTAAGTGACCTTTGCCAACCTTTCTGACACAACCTCAGACCATGACAGACTCTGGCTTTTGGACTTGTTGCTGGAAACAGTCTGGATGGTCCTTTTTGTCTTTGGTCCAGAGCACATGGTGTCCATTCCTTCCAAAAAGACCTGAAATCATGATTCATCTGACCACAGTACACATTTCCACTGTGTGATGGTCCATCCCAGATGCCTCTGAGCCCAGAGCAGTCGACTTCTGGACACTGTTGACATAGGGCTTCATTTTGGCACAGTACAGTTTTAAGCAGCATTTATAGATGTAACTACATATTGTAGTGCCTGACACAGGTGAGCCAAAGTCATCCTGAGCCCATGTGGTTATATCACTTATAGAAGAGTGATGATTCTTGATGCGGTGCCGTCTGAGGGATCAGAGAGCTCAGTCATCCAGCTTAGGCTCAGCCCTCGGCCTTTACACACTGAAATCCCTCCAGACTCCTTGAATCTTTTAATGATATTTGGCACCGTAAAGGGTGATAGATCCAAATCCCTTCCTGTCTTTCTTTGAGGAACATACAGGATACACATGATTTATAAATGACTACTTTTAGTTTAAATTTTGATTTTATATACCACAAAGCCCATGCACACTGGGGAGTCAAGGTGTTGCAGGATGTAATTCAGTGCTCAAGCCAAAACAGATGATCAGGAAGCAGAGGAGCTAGAATAACGCCGGGTAGCTGACAAAACAATCTGGCATAGCATCCTCAGGTGGGCGTTGGAATCAAATGATAGACCAGCGGGGAACAAATGGAAAAGCGGCGTAGATATAGGGAGCTGAACCAGAAGATAATGAGCAGGAGGTGGATGAAATGATGACTGATTGTGCTGGCTGAGAACGTGGCAGGAGAGGCGGGGGAAAAAACAACAGAAAACCAGGAAGCGATGGTCCAAACCGTGGCAATACTCCCAATATTAATCATGCTTTTTTCATGTTCTTAGGCAAAGTTTATTCTGGCAGTTTTGTGCTGAATGACAACCATACATTTTTTGTCTTGGATGCCATCTATAGAGGTTGATGTCATGTAATGTCCTTGGCATTGTGAGAGCTGTCACAGAAACTTTGATTTCCATTTATAACCACTGTGCCAAGTTTGAAACACTTGTCTGGTTTTCAGAACTAGATTGTGCAAGTAGCACACTGTGGCATCATTTTAGGATGACCACCATTGTTTCTACTATGGCTTGTTCTATACAGGTACAGCTCAATAAATTAGAATATTGTGGAAAAGTCCATTTATTTCAGTAATTCAACTCAAATAGTGAAACTCGTGTATTATATAAATTCAGCGCACACAGACTGAAGTACTTTAAGCCGTTGGGTCTTTTAACTGTGATGATTTTGTTCACATTTAACAAAAACCCACCAAATCACTATCTCAATAAATTAGAATACCTCATAAGACCTATAACTTAACATTTTTAGTGAATTGTTGGCCTTCTGGAAAGTATGTTCATTTACTGTATATGTACTCAATACTTGGTAGGGGCTCCTTTTGCTTTAATTACTGCCTCAGTTTAGCATGGCATGAAGGTGGGTGATCAGTCTGTTGCACTGCTGAGGTGGTATGGAAGCCCAGGTTTCTTTGACAGTGGCCTTCAGCTCATCTGCAT